ATGATCTTGTTCTCTATATGTGTGTGTAATTATGACATGTTACGGATGTAAGTTGTATGACAATACATATTTGCACGAAAGAAAATTGCTTTTAGATTCTCTAAAAGCAATACATCTTGGCCAGATTCAAGTTCACAATAACACTTGTCTGGTTCTCTAATTTAACGTTTCTACATAAGCATCAATTGCTTATGAAGAAAGTACATGATTGGTACAAAAAGAAACCAAAGACAATATGCTAAGAAGATGATGATACTAGATTTTTCACAAAGTTCTAAATTGATGTGACTTTCACAACACCTTCAGATGACGAGTGTTTGCAGTGGTTCAACGCAACAGATCCTACCAATGTTCTCTGACCCGCTGCTTATGCATCTCAGTTCCAACTATTGAGCTCAAGTGCCCCCTATCCTAGGGTTCAGGGTTTTTTAACTAAACTTGGACTACTGACTCTATCTCGCTGCAAATGCCGTTCTTCAAATCCCATTATTGTACACCATGTTTCTCTTTTTTGGTCATCTCTGCTACCCTGGTACTATGTCCTCTAGATTCAAGGAAAAGTGTAGGACATAAAATATGATCCCTTGCCATTATGAGTCGATTAGACCTCTATGCTTGCAAGTTCACCTCTGTCCTACACACTCGAGATTCAAATTCGTCATTCCTATTCTACACTAAGACGAAAAGACAGTGGGAGGTGATTTTGCTGGAAAAATAAGTCTTTATTTTGGTCGACAGGATATACAATCCAACCCTTGTCATCTTGAAGTCGAGCTCTTCCTACAGCCGTCGACGCACAAGACAACACTTCCTACATTCTCTGAAAATCGTAGTGCGTGCATACAAACAACAGGCCCGCCTTGCGTCCTCTGCATAGCTGTAGACCGTGAGCTGATTGCTGACTAAGCAATCAGGTTGCATCTCTATCCATTGTCCGCAAGGTGGAGGTCTGAAGTCTGTAGATACGCGGTTTTCTCACTTGCAGGTGCAAGAGTTGCATGAGCATTTGTCACCACACTTGCATACTTCGTTGGCTCCCTCAAACCTAAAGCGATATCAAAACCAATATCAGCAAAAAGTGCAGTAAGATAGAAGCAAGCAAATTGCAAGTTTCAAAACCGTCTAAACATGTTGCAGTTGTGGAATATTGATCATCTAAGCAGCTCAAGCTTGAAACTAGGATACCTTGTCTCTACTTGGATGTGGTGGATGAAAATAAATTGGATCGTACCCTCTCATCTCTGAACTCTCGAAGTCGTCCATGGACCTTTTAGAGCCGCAGCTTCATGGACAGAACGAGCAGATTTGACTGCCTTGAACGAGTTTGTCAGCTCTTGAATCATTCTCTCAGCTCTTCTGCCGCCGATGTCGGAACCCATTCGGCCGATTGTCAAAGCACTCTTTGTGGTGTGGATCCGTGCCGTGCGCTTCTACGAGTCTGTGAGCTCTCCTAGGGGTGGTGTGGGTTCCACACCAAAAATAAAGCGGAGCGGATCTCACAATCTCCAGACATGGGGGAGAAGGTCAGCAGAGCTGTCAGACTCCCCCACATAGGACAGCTGAATTGCCAGGCCTTTCTATATACAGAGTTAAACCTCCCAATAGTGACACATAACCGTTCTAGGGTTTTATGTCACTATTGGGAGGTGTCACTCACAAGAGGATATCTAATCTTTTCCCGCGTTCGATGGGCGCTTCTTTCTTTCTCAACAAATTTGTCATAGTGCCTTCGGGGCGTTTCTTTCTCTCTCGCTACAATCTGTCACAGGTGTTATGCATGAGGTAGTCGTTTATCTCTCAACGCAATCTGTACTTGTTTGGAGGGAGTTTTTTTTCTCTCTTAATCTACACCCGTTTTTATTCACACATGTCTAAAAGCAAGCGTTGTTTGGACGTGAAGACTAAGTTGGAAATTTTGGATTTTCTGAATCAGCCCGGAGCCACCCTTGAAAATTGAAATCTTTTGACTTGTTTTCCTCCTCATGGATTTGGCTCCATCCTGACCAACTTGAAAAGGCGTGAAAATATCCCACTGGCAGAACCGACGTGTTCTTCTTTCCACTCGATTTGTCTCAATTTCCTTCCAGCACTCTTCCCACAAGAGTTTAAACATCGCACAACCAGATTGCAACGAGTGAGCAGAGACAGACGTCTGATATCGTCGACGTCTTCGCTCACATCATTTGATCAGTGACACGGATTCAAGGTCTGAGAATATTGTAACCACTGAGAAGACTTGGGATAGACCAATCAGCAAGCTCCGAAAGTAGACTTTTAACTCTGAACAAAGACTTTTGGTAATTATGATAGCTATTAAAGGTCTACATAGTCACTCTTGAAAAATCTAATGACACTATTAACAATAGTGACGTACTGTTATTATTGGATAAAATTACCCGTTAGAAACTAATGGTTCTTCATTTTCATGTCACTAATGGGAGGATGTCACTCACAAGAGGTGACACTATCGGGAGGTTTAACTCTGTAGGACGGAATTCGTATGTTCCGTACCTCAACAAAATAAAAAATAATTTCAAATCAAAATTTGGAATATAAGGAACTCGACAGTTTTCGGCCGAATTTGTCAGCAATGTAATACAACTTCGAGAGAAATGGGTGTTATCTTTGATCTCTGAATATCCTTTTCCCATTTTAGCGATGAGAAATCTCTCTCCACACCGTTGAAGTGTTCGAAACTGGTGAAACTAATACTACGAAAAATTCCATGAGTTGAAGAAATCTATTTTCAAAACTTGGAATTAAAATTTTCAGATAACAGATTTTTGTGCACCTAGACCATCGACTTCGTAATGTTCTGGGTTCACTATTTTGTCTTTGTACTTTTGTTTCCCAAACATTTTGAGACTTTCTTGATATTTTAAAATTAATTGAATAAATTTCTGTGTTTTCAAAGCTACAAGTGAATGAGGTGACCAAAGAAACAAAATACTAGAACTTGATGAACTCATCAGATGTCACGCAAAGTTTTAGTCAAGTACTCAATTAATTTCTCTAGTAAAGTAACAGCAATGAACAAAGAAATTGTCACAAACTATCATGGCAAAAATTTAGCTGAATATTTACGTAAGTTTCTCTAGTAAAATCACCTACTTCAACAAAAATTTGTCAAAAATTCTCACCCCAAAGTTTTAGTTAAATGATTCTTTTAGTTTCTACATCTAGATAACAAAGACTTTTTGTTGGAAATAAGGAATTTTCTGAAAATGAAATATGGCACTTTGGCCCTAACAGGCTCGGGAAGTCAGCTAGGTGGGCCGAAACTGAAACATGTTCATGTCGCAGAAGCAAAGATACTGAAACAGGCTCGGGAAGTCACAGCTAGGTGGGCTCGAAACTGAAACATGTCGCAGAAGCAAAGATAGAAGTCTTCAAGGCTGCTTGCTTGTTATCAAGCGCTTTCCTATTGCTAGGCGTCATTGGCGCAGTTGAAAGTAATGTAGTTTCAACTATAGCAATAGGAAAGCTAGGCGTCATTGGCGCAGTTGAAACTACATTACTGGTCACGTACTTTCGAAATTTCTTTTCGCTGGGAACATAGTCAACCAATGTGAACAACCATTATGTTCGAGAGCTGTAAAGCAGCGCCACCCCTCGTCACTAAGGGCTCCTCAAAAATGAGGGAACGCGACCTCTGCCCGCCCGGGCTTTCTGCCCGCAGCCCGACCTCCCCGCCTCCGACCCCATCCCCCCTTCCCCCCAGCCCGACTAGGGATGGCCGCCTCCCGATCACTCCACTTTCCCGTCCCTTCGCAAAATGTCTGCGTCCACTGTTCTGCCAATGCCAGTCACCGAGTCCTTCACGCTAAATTACATTAAATTTTATTAAATAGTTTAGCCCCTTCTGATTCTGTCCCACGTTTGAAGAGAACTGCGAACGACAAATGTATTGCGAGGCATGTCATGTCTTCCATTTCGGAGATTTGGTTGGAAAAATTAGACGCGGGCAGGCGCTGCGTTCAAGCAGTAAATCGGAAAAATCAAACTTCTGATTAATCAAAAACGCTGGCAATAACAATCAAGCCCAACAATGGTGTTGAGAATTATGTCCTTCGTCTGGCCATGTAAGTTCAGAGAATGAGAGTATTGAGTTTGTTTTTTCCGCCTCAGGTAGCTGCCAACTTAATTATTACGGGCGATTTCTCCAGAGTGGATAATGTCTCCACAACTAATAACTATAATATGATGTCTCCACAACTAATAACTAGTAACCGGGAGGTCGGGCTGCGGGGGAGGGTGTCTGGTTGCGGGGGGAGGGGGTCGGGATGTGGGCCCGGGTGAGGAGGGGGGGTCGGGCTGCGGGCAGAAAGCCCGGGCGGGCAGAGGTCGCGTTCCCTCATTTTTGAGGAGCCCTTAGTGACGAGGAGCGCCACCGGGGCTACTCGAACCGGGTCATAGAGTCCGACCGGTGCCCTCTGCCGGTCTCCGAGTCACAAAGCTTCTTTGAACCGGGCGCGCGGGCGATGGGGAGAGCGCACCTGCTACTCGAACCGGGCCCCGTAAAATTTCGCAGCGAGCTTTGAGTTTATAGTTGTCCTACTGCGGTCTACGAGTCCGCGGGAGTACCCAGGGAGCTCGGGTCCTCCCGCGAACGTTAACGTGGCGCCCGGCCCCGACAAATCTCGCGGCGAGCTTTGAGTTTATACGACCCGTAGAACGTCAAACGTAAACCTCCCGCGAACGTTAACGGTTTAGGGGTGCTTTATTGGTAGATTAAACTCTATATGTCGGTATTTAATCCTTAACAGTATTCTCATCACACTGTTACAGAATCGGTAGCAATACCCCTTGGGCTCCGTAGAGGGGTATTGCTACCGATTCTGTAACAGTGTGATGAGAATACTGTTAAGGAGCTAACACGGAGCACCTATGAAATTCTAGCGCGCCATATAAACCGTTAGCAAGCAAGCAACAAGGTGGCCCCAAGCTTGTCTGGTCCGTAGCCAATATAAACTTTGAGTTTCATCCCCAATATACATTACACTCCTCCTCCCTTAAACCCCTCCTCGTCTTTAGCTGGAATTCTAACTGGCTAGAGTAGGCTCCATCTTGATTTTGTCGTTCAGAAGTTTCAGAGTTGATGTGCAATTTTCTCAATATGTCAAGACTTTCAGAGTTGATGTGCAATTTTCTCAATATGTCAAGACGAGATCATCCGAGATCATGCCTTCACGTGATACGGATGGCATGTCTTGTCATTTCGGGTAAGATGTTGGGTGTTTCGTTGTGCATGTTCTGTTTATCAGTCAGTCCATGCAGGCACATCTAGCTCATTTGGTCAGCTATCTCGTGTTACTCGATTGATTGTCAACATTTTTCCTTCATTGGAAAATGGGATGGAGAGGCAAGTTACAGTATTCTGGCGTCAGAATTTGCATGAATTTACATCCGTTACATTCTATCAACACTCCTGTCGATGCATTGAGCCTTCCTTTCCTCAGTCCGACTAATCCTTGGCGATATGACTGTTGCTTCAGCATGCGAGGTGGCAGAGAGAGTAGCGTATTACGCCATATCTTCCACTCTCACAGTCTACCTTACGACAGTCCTGCAAGAGACCGAGGCCGAGGCAGCAAAAAACTATATCATCTGGGCAGGAACTACGTTTCTTACTCCCATTATTGGAGCATTTGTTGCGGATGCATTCTTGAGTCGTTATTGGACCATCGTCTGGTCCATGATAATATATTTCCTGGTATATATCTCTACTTGACGACAATTTTTTTTCATGTTAAAGCTCGGTGTCGAATTTTCTGGAGTTGCTTTATGCCAACCAAATACAATCTCTCGAATTCTCCGTAGATTAGAATCTAGAATTTAAGTTTCCTATATTCAAAGCTTGTGCAAATATTCTGGAAAGTGTGGACTGAAAGACGGATGCTCCATGGCTCAGTTGACGAGATTCTGATTTGGAAACTTGCAGGCATTGGTTTGTGTCACGGTCTCCATGTCCTTCGAGCCATTCAAACCTCCGACGTGTGATCATCATCTCCTCCCCACCATGTGCGACAAGCCTAGTGTGCCCCAAAGAGTCTTCTTCTATGGTTCATTGTACTTGATGGCCTTTGGAGCGGGAGGAATCAAGGCATGTGTGACGGCATTCTCTGCAGACCAATTCGACGACACTGATCCTGGGCAGAACCATGAGAGGGTGTCGTTCATGAACTTGTGGTGTTTCAGTCTGAGCGTCGAGCGTATCATGGGTTCGGTGGCCTTCTTCCCTTGGGTGCAGGAACAGTATGGTTGGGTATGGGTCGGAGCAATTCCAGCCGGAATCGTTGGATTTGTATCTCTGAGTTTCATTTTCGCTCATCCTCTGTACTACCATCAAAGCCCCTCTGGAAGTGCTTTCACAAGAGTTCTCCAGATTCTGGTGGCTGCTTTCGAGAAGAGAAACTTGGAACTGCAACCTGATCTTCGCGAGCTGTTTGACCTGAGCCCGTATTATTCAGAAGTTTCCATATGTGGTGTTGCTTGACAGAGGTTGTTATTCAAAGTTCGGAAAGATCGATACGTGGCTGAAGACTGATGAAAAATTTCTAATCCAATCTAACAATTTTGAGACATCTAGGCTCGAAGGGACACATCAGCTACGAATTCAATAAAAAAAGCTTTGCGTTTGTAATACAGTGCCAACTGATTTTCAGATTTCTTGTCAAAGAAAAAAAAGATTCATCATGATTTCGTCACCGAAAAGGTACGAACAAACATTTCTGGATGAGTCTGGGACTCGTAAGATTTGCTCCAGACCAGAATAGTGTACACTGACATAGGGATGGGCACAGTTGGGCTAATGGCTAGCCGGCTAATATTTTTTGTTAGCCGGCTAGCCGGTAAACACTGCCACTTCTATCTGAGGCCGAAAACGAACCGTAAACTCGGCCGATTTTTACGTTTTCGGCCGATTATGTATTCAGATTGGGCCGAAATTATTCAATAAATATTATTTCGACCAAATATTCGGTTAATTGCATGTTCGGTCCATAACCGGCTAGCCGGCTAAGTTTGAGGCCCAGCAGGCTAGCCGAAAGTTAGCCGGCTGCGTGCCCATCCTTACACTGACATGATCCAAAGCTTTGGTTCGCTCCTTTGATGGTTCTGGGAACAACAGTACTAACTCTTGTTGGACTCTGAGAGGGCGTTTACTGTTATACAAAAAGTAGATCTACTCATGTTGCATTACACACGATCGTCCTGAGCATTGAAGGTGTTCTCTTAAGACCTCCGTTCAGCAAAGCAAGTTTTAGAGGAGACCGATTCTCCGGCGAAAGGCGAACTACAAGATTTAACCGGAACCCGTACTCTTCGTACCTAATAGTCAAGCATGTACAGGGGATTGTGAGTCATCAGGTAAATGAGACATAGGATGGATACATATCTGAATCATTATGAAATGTCAGAATTTGTAGCAATTGTTGTGCAGGCAATGAAGTGAAATGTGAGCGCATATTTCAACTCACCCGAAAACAACCGGGTTGTTTTGCTGTACATTCTCGGACGAGACGTTCTTAGGTTGAGTAAATAGGTGATTGGTGGGGTTTTAATTAATTCCTGACGGGATTTGCACCTCTCAACTTATGCCCTTACGATGAGGTGGAGATACTGTATTTCCAGTAGTCACTCCATTTCCGGCAGTGTTCAATTAAGGCATTGTCACGAGAGAACGAGCAAGTTACGTCTCTTACCGCAGTTATTGATCCCTCCGTGCTCTCGTTGATAAAATTCCTGGTTTCATCGATCCACCTCGTCCTATTTTATCTTCAAAGGTAGATTTGCCCGTGCAGTCTCCTGGTAAGGCTTTCAATGTCATCCTGAATACTTGCAGATCGGCGATCCAGTCTTGTTCCAAATCTCACATCTTCTTGTCGATCGTTACTCTTGCAGCAGAGCTTCGCCTCTTCTCTTTTTACACCCGTCGTTGAATGACGATCGGTGCGTATAACGGCGGGCGAGGAATGAAATTTTCAAAGTTTCTGCACTTCAAATCAACTGATTCGGCAACACTGGAAATGGATGTGCCCATGGATATACAACTCTGAAGATCAGAAATTTAGAACTCGCATTAGGGCTCCGATCGGGTTCGGGTAGAGTGCTGTACCCGACCCGAAAATCAAGAAAGCAACGACCGATAAGTGTTCAGCTGCAAGACCAGCTGATCCGTCGTCGTCGTCTGCATCGGCTTCCGCTCCGTCTCGCGAAACTCAACTCCTCGTCTCGTGTCTAGCATTCATCTTCGTCCCGCCTGCTACGTACCTCGCTTGATGCAAAGCAGGCACCCGCTCCCTTGCTTCTGCGTCTAGCTGGGACGCGCTGCGCTACCTATGCTCCTCGTCCTGCCTCCCCGAAATGCAGCTCCAATTTCCCGATTCTCCCTCGCCGTCCCCTCACGATAATCGATCCACCGACCGATTCGGGTTCTACCCGAATCCGACCCGATTGTTCGGGTCGGGTTTGGGTTCAAGGTCAAACCCGATCCGAACCCGACCCTATCGGAGCCCTAACTCGCATCAGCATCCGCATCCTCCGACCTTTTAGTACCTCTTCCGTGAAGTTCTTCACGAGGAGTCTTAGCTGTCTCTTCGTAGGTCTTGGCAACCGATATGGCAGCTTCCATGGTGGAGTTATTACCTGCTTGCAGGCAATACTTGCGAATGGATGTCGGCAGTCCCTTCAACTACCACCAAACCTTCAATCTTTCAGGATAGGGTTCATCGCCACTCTGCAATTGATTGATCAACCTTGTCAGTTTGATCGAGTGTTTTTTAATGGATTCATCAGGCTTCTTCCTTATCCTGCTGAGTTTGGTCAGAAATCTGTCAGGATTTCGACGAAATTTCTTCACAAGCGCAGCGCGGAGGCTTTCCCAATCTCCTCGTTCGTCTGCATTCAAAGACGTGTATCAACTGAGAGCTCGTTCCTAGAGCAAATTGGAAAGAGTTCACAGTTTGTCTTCATCCGAGACCTGTCCGTTGTACTGCGCGATGGCTTCGAAATGTCGGAGGAAGTACTCGACATCTTCAGATGGACTTCCATTGAAATCTGCATACTCAATGGTGTAATTCTTTTCGCAGTAGGAGTCATCCATTCTCAGCCTAACCGGAAACGTTGGTCGTATGAGGCCTCAGAGTATTTCGTCCCCCTCATGACAGATTCTGCGTCCAGCTCTAGCCGCTTTCCCACCTGCATCGAGGCTCGTCCTCGTCCTCTCCCTCTGCTTTCCCACAGGTTCTCAGCGAATCTATTTCCACATCTGACCCTCCAGGTTCATGGAAAGACGCCAGTACTTCCATCGAGTTGAACACGATGTGAACTCATCTGTGACACAAGACGGTGTGGATCATCTGCGAACAAGGACAGAAGTTCAGAGGAACTGTCCTCGCTAGCTCTCTTCCTGTCTGTGACGGATAAACGCAAATTCCTCGCGCATCTGGTCCTCAACCTGGAGCTGGGAAGGGCAATATCGAGGTCCTAAAACTCTGCTGCCATTATCCGGAGTGTCAATGCAGGAGCATTCTACCTCCTGTAAATTCGGTTTGAATCAAAGGCTGTATAGGAATCATTATCGTTTGACATGTCTGAACTTTACACAAGAAGTGGGATTATTTGGAGTACCGGAAGGCTCAAATACCTGATAATGAGATTGTTCGCACATCATTTTGAGAGATAACATGTTACAACGTGTATAAAAAGAAAACTCAAAACGCAGTTGCAGTACTCGGTAATATCCATATTTTCCTGGAAGACATAAAGTTCAGATACGTGGTATATCTAGATTTAGAATATGCTAGATCCCTGTGCTAAACTCCTAGTACCACCATCTCTTTTTCTCTTATTGCTTCTACATTATTTATTTCTAATTCAGATTTTAAGTTTTCATGGCAATGGCTTGGTTCGTTACAGACACGTCAAGTTCAACAAAAAAAAAATTATTCAAAGAGATAATGGTGAGATTGAAAAAAATGATCCAAATTATTATCAGCCTTAGAAGAATTATACTCTATCATAGCTCAATATGACTCTCAGAATGTCTACAAAGTCAATGAGACTAGAATTTTTTTTTCCATTTTGATGCATTTCGAACATTTCGAGCATTAGAGGTAAAAAGAAAACAAAAGATAGTGTTTCTTTTATAGTTTACGTCAACCCATATAGAACACATGACGCTACTTGGGTAATGATTGGAAATTCAAAAGATTCAACGTGTATTAAAGACCTACAGTGGCCAGTTCCTTATTTCACTCAAACAAAGTCATTGATAGACATGAAAACTTGGCCATTCTAAACTCAGCCAGTTTAGAATGCGTGCGCATTCCACTTTGGAGTCACATGACTTCACACGGATTTTAATCATTTTGAACGTGCATTTGCACGACTAACCTTGTACACCGTTTTAGAGAAAAGTTGAACGTTTGTTTATTTGTACTTGGCTGTTGACAACAATCTTAGAGAGGTAGAATGCAGAAAAGTTTTTGAAGTGGGTTTCAATCCCAATGAGGTGAAGGCTACAAATCTTGTGTTGTACATTAGATTTTTGCAGTAAGATTCTTGCATGAAATATTTAGAATATGCATGCAAAATTTAATGCAGAGAATGAATAGTTTCATTTACATCTTTTCTTTGTTTATCAGCATGTAATTCTAGAGTATGGTTTAAACTCAAAAAAGCAACATGTATAAAATGAATGTGGCATCATCTTGAAAAATCCTTACACGTGTCTCATTTCAAACATTAATTTCAAAGTCAAAGTAAGGATAAATGTATCATTATTTAAATAGCTTGGAATATGTTTTGTTCTAATATGCAATAGCAAATTCTTTTGCATGCAACATCTCAAATCAGGAGAAAACAAAATGAATCAATCATACTCAAACATCATGATAATAAAAATATGAACACCATAACAAGATTAACATATTAGAGATTATCAGACAAAAAAAGCAACAGATTTCAAACTCATTCTGTAAAATTAATTGAAATTTGAAATAAATTAATCATTTCAATGAAAAATATGAAATATTTAAGTCTCAATATGAAAGCTTAAAAAAATGTATTCACAATTGTGTTGACAAGTTGAAATTTTTTCATGAATTAACATCAATACTTATTGATAAAAAATACTGTTATAATGTTCAAACAATCCAATATTTCCAATTTAAATTCCTAATTTCAAAAAGAAAAATTGTTGGATGAAATTACGCCAAAAAGCAAATTGTATCATGAATGATAGTGAACAGAGTTTTATGCCCAAAAATATATTTGATTGATTTGAAACAAATCTTGTGTTCTCAATTACACAAAGAGTAAGTAAATAAGATTATGGAAAAAAAAATTAAAAAAAATTCAAGTTACGAAAATTAAAAAATTTATGCACTAAATATGCAAAGGAAAAAAATCACTTATTTTGAATATGTTTTTACAAAGATGATAACACAATAATTAAATTTCTAATTGCATAATTTTGATTATCAAAATTTGAAT